TTTTTTTTTTTTTTTTTTAAATAATAAACGACTAAACAGACAAAAAGACTACTACTAAGGTCGAGACAATTCTTGTTTTTATGCTGCTCTAAGATTTTGATACATGATTTGGAATATGTGTGTATTCGGATGGAACAATTGGTTGGTTAAGGTTTTATATGGGTGATGGAAGCCGGCGGTATGTATATGAACAGGATGGATATGATTGGTGGATTTTTTTATTTTTTTATTTTATTTTATCTTAATTATTTATTTATTTGGAATTGAGGAAGAAGGATGCTAGGTCAAAGGAAAACGGATTGCTCTCATACCAAATTGATGCAGGAGCATACAAATGAATAAAGAACAACAAGAAAAAAGGGGATCAAATGGAAGAATTAAGGGCGAGAGAGATAATTTTATTAATATAATTCAGGTGTATTTGTAAGCATTACTCTAAGTCCCTTTATATAGAGAATGACTTTGAAATTGAATAATCTTCCTATCTAAACAAACTTGAAATAATCTTTCGTCTTGAATAAACTTTTATTTGTTTCCTTCTTGTATCAAATAGACTCTCGTAAGTGAAAATTATAAGAACACCTATTGAGGTGGAGCAACAAGAAGTTTTGCCACCTGTTGAAGATGAATCTGGATTGGAAATTAATGAACGAATCCTAGAAGAAGACCCTTAAGTAATTATCAATTAACTAGAGATAGGAAAAGAAGAGAGAATAATTCTAGCTAGATATAATGATTCAGATTTTACAGCCTTAGCAACCAACTCGTATGAGAAAATGAGTGACATTGGTACTTCAAATATTTCAAATGAGACTATACAAATGGACAAGTAGATCTTTGGTAGGCAGCTGTCTGAAAAAAAATAAAAAATAAATAAAAAAATTGACATTTCTAGATAAGAACAAATCCTAGGATTGGTACCTAAGCCTAAACAATCACTCTAGAGTGAACAATATATGGCTCATTTCAATTAGGAATGGAACTTTTTCATGTTAAAACAGTAATTTATTTTTTTTTTTTTAAATTTACAAAATAAGGTATTAATGTAAGTCGTAATTACACCCTATATATTGAGTGCATTTTATAAATTTCCTTTAAAAAAAAATGGTCGAGACAATTCATTTACTCGCAACAATTACAACTGTGTAGCTCACTCCAAGCTGTAGAGAAAACATTCATCTAATAAGTACTTTTTCATGATATCGTGTCTTTCAAGAAAATTTATTTATTAATGGTAATGTTAACCGTCTAGCACACTCATATGTTGTCGATAATATATGTGTCTTGACAGGTTAGTGGTAGACTTGACATTTAACATGTAAAGATAGCCATTTTGCTAGTAGCTGGTTATATTGATATCACGATTTTTATTTGTTACTCGGAACTTTTAAATTGTTTTCCTATTTACTTAAATAGTCACAAGTAAATTGACTTAATAACCACTTAATTGAGCACTCATATATGTGTGCATTCTTTTTCTATATTTCATTATTAAGTACATGACAATATATAAAATATATAGATAATGAGTATTGATTTCTTTGTTAAGTATCATCGATTAATTGATTCAATGTCTTAAATTCTTGGAAAAACTCAATCTTTGATGGTAAAACTTATAAATAATTAAAAGAATTTATAATCTCAGATTGATTAACATAATAAAGGAAAATTGATTTCACTTTATTCCTCGACTTTTCCCAGTTATTCTCTATTTTTTTACAAAAGAATAAGCTTATTATTTTCATAATATTATTCTTCATTCTTTTGTTTCAAGACCAATCGGAACGTGAACTAAGTGGTACTACTACATTAGTCTTAGCAACTCGTGAAAGGTTTGAGAACCGTTTGTGAGTTTCAACCGAGTCTTACAAAGATTTTGTCACAACGTGTGATTGACAATCATATTATTATTCTCATTGATTGTTACCAACTATATCAATGGAGACTAGAGATTCTCGTTGGCCACGGTCCCGTGAAAATAAAAAACAAAAAGATGTATATATGGCTAGGGAAGGAATATAAATGCTTGTTAGAGAAATTGGTCTGATACACATTCAGAAAGTAACTACACAATGACATTACGGAATTCTTTATATTTCATTAATTCTCTATGAAATAATATAACCATTTTTATTACAAAAAATTTAAAAATACGTGACATTAATTTAATTGAATGTTACAAGATAAATTTATATAAGTAAACCACATAATCCAAAGGATCCTATGATTTAAAAGAAATGAGAGAAACTAAAACAGCTCTTTCGGAATTAAGGCAATCTTATCTCCTTTGGAAGTTGAATGCCTTGATGGAATAGGCAAAAATGAACGCGAAAAGCACATCGAAACCAAGAATTATACCAGCAGCGACTCCAAGGAAACTGTATTCGAACCCGAAGTAATCTTTCAAGAATTGTTCTACTGTATCTCCACTGTCTTCCATCACATCCTGAATCTCTCCAAACTGTGATACTATTAAACCGTACAAGGTATAAGCGACGGGAGTTGCCCAATAATACCATCTCCACCAGATAGGGATCCTCTGTTAGTAAAAAGAAAAAATGAAATTTGTTAGTGTTCATAAGTTTATTGTATTCGTTGATCGTGCTAATGAAAAATTGCATTGCTAATACTTACAGGTCGTGGAATGATAAAGCCAGAAAAGAGATTCCATATTGCGTAGAAGAAAGACGAGATAATGGCAGCAATGTTGTGATTAGGAGTGACAGCCACAGTCATCATTCCATAGAGGACGAAGTACATCAATGAGAAGAAGAAGAAAAATAAGAACCAGAAGAATTTTTCAGCAGTCCAGTCCAGTCCCATCATAGCATAGACAATAAGACCGTATACAAGTGTTTGTACAAAGACATATGGAACTTCAATTAGAACCTGCAGTGGGATTGAAATCGTATTAGAAAATCTAATTTTCATCAATGCATGATTCGCATATCAAACTTAGACTGATAATCGTTAAGGAGTATAATCCCACAACAAATAAATAGGAAAATATAAACCAATTTATAAAGGTTTGGACTACTCCTCTTAATAAGGTTGATCTTTTAAGATGAAATTTCAAATCTTAATATGTTATTAGAGTCCATTAACTTTTAACGAGTAATTCAGTCCAATTATAAAGATTTAGACTACTCATCTTAATAAGGTTGTCTTAATAATACTCACTTGTGCAAATGCATACGGTAAGGCTGAATACATTCCGGCTGCTCTTTCTCTATAGAAGACGGTTCGTTCAACAGCCACCACAGGTTGTACTGTCGACCCGTATTGGAATCCCAAAAAGTTGACAGCAGCGTACATACAACCCATAGCGTTGAACAGATCTTGTTGTGTATTCCTGCATCAATGGTACCTCAAAAGATTTAGGATTCAACTCAATAAAATGAACACACAAGACTAAACTTTCTAATTCAGCTTATTCTCATTCAAGTTACCATTTTGAGCCAAGATCCCAGAACATTGTCCCGAATATGAGGGCTATGAAGGTCGTGAACAAAAATCTGACGGCTGTATAAGGTGGATTTCGCCAGTATGACCAGTGTTGTTTCCACAAGCAAGCCATGCATTGGACGAGGAAAGATTGCGAGTATTGAGTTGCAAAATACAGGTCTTTAGTATCCGGTCGAGGCACACTTAATTCTTTAATAAGTGCTTTGTTCCTCCTGCAATTCATACAGATCAACAACAAAAATGATTATAAATCGTAACATTTTGTCAAAGAGAAGATATCTTATCAAATCATTGATGAGGCATTTTCCAATTCCCAACCAATCAAGTTAATGTGAATAGACCTACCTATAGAGGTCTGAGTTTTTATATACTTCGGTAAAATCAACCCCCAACATTAGTTCTTGTGATGAAGAAGTAACTTCCAACATCCAAGTTGCGGGATTATAACCATCTTTGATTTTAGGTACACCTTGAATCTCCTGAATGCAAAAAGTAAATGTCCTTTAGTATTTGAAACCCATCGACTAAAGAATCAAACGATTTCTTGGTGTTTGATCTTACAACTTACCTCAAAGTACTTGATCAATTGAGACGATTGATGACCCAAAGGACCAACGTATATCTCTTGTCCCCCTCGTTTCATTAAAAATAGCTGCAAAATGGCAATTATCTTAGTATTTCATGCAATGTAAAAATACAGAAAATCCAGTGATCTGCCTAATTTATCAATATTTTTACCTCATCAAATGCTTCGAAAATATCAATACTGGGTTGATGGATGGTACACACTACTGTTCTTCCTGTGTTTACTGTATNTTTTACCTCATCAAATGCTTCGAAAATATCAATACTGGGTTGATGGATGGTACACACTACTGTTCTTCCTGTGTTTACTGTATTCCTGACTGTTCTCATCACAATTGCAGCAGCCCTAGCATCAAGTCCTGAAGTTGGCTCGTCCATGAATATTATCGAAGGGTTCGCTACCAGCTCGACTGCAATTGTTAACCTCTTGCGTTGCTCAGTCGAGAGACCATTGACACCTGGCAACCCAACTTGTGATCCTCTCAAGGGAGTAAGTTCCACAAGTTCCATAACCTCCTCAATAAACATCTGGAAATATATCACGAAGTTTTGTTATTTTATCATTGCATTGACGGGTACAAGTACAATAATATGGTAATAGTGGAAATGAAATGTTGAAGTTACATACCTTTCTAGTTTCAGCATCAACTTCTTTAGGCAAACGCAACCAAGCTGAGTAAAGCAGGGACTCATGAACAGTAACATGAGGAGAATGGATGTCATTCTGTTCACAGTATCCAGAAATCCTAGCAAATGTTTCCTGCTTCTTTGGATAGCCTGAAATCGTGATATTTCCCTCAATATACCCACCTGTTTTTCGACCAGCCAACACATCCATCAAAGTTGTTTTACCAGCCCCGCTAACACCCATCAAAGCTGTAAGAACACCAGGCCGGAAAGCTCCACTTACACCCTTCAGGAGCACCAGTTTATCATCAGCATCACCTTGAGCTCTCATTTCCTGCAAGCCAGTTAAGAGATTATGTTGGATTCCCTGTTAGATGACAAAATTTGTGTGGCAAGAGATTATCTTGAGGCTTTACTTACTGCTGGCATGTCAACTGAGTATTGAACATTGTCAAATGTAATAGAATGTGGCTCAAATGGAAGTATCATTCCTTTTTTCTTGTTCTGATTAATCTCATTGGCATCTGCCCTTTCAGATGAGGCATCATCTTCACTTTCTTCTAGTATAGTAGCTTGAGGCCTCTCAAAAGCTGCAGATTTTCAAAGGGAATTAGTTTTTTGCAAAGGTAATTATATTTATGGAAGTTATTTCAAGCACGGGAAGTAGAGGCACTCACGATTGAGATATGTTAGAGAAAGAACAAAGAATAAGTTGAACAGAAATACGAATCCAAGTAATGCTCCTGCTCCAATCCAATACCAGTATGCTTGGGGAAAGAACCCTCGAGATTTTGTCACAACAGCTCCCAATGTTTGGGTTCCATTTACAAGCTTTAAATCAGAAAAAAAATTAAGAATCAGCTAATAAATTTCGAGACATAAATAGCTTAAAAGACAAAAAGCAATAAATTGATGCATTCTCTTACTTGGCTCCAACTGTGTCCTGTGAATTCATTTACAAGAATTGCATTCTGTGCATACATCATAGGAGAGGCCCAGTAGCCCCATATCCACCAACCTTTAACATCCTCTGTAAAGATGACCAAATATTATGATAAGAAAACCAATAGTAATTTAAACAGAAGAAAATTGATTTGAATATTTGATGCTCGTTTTATACCTCGTGAAAGAACAAAGCCACCTAATGCAAAGAGCAGGAGAAGTGCAAATAATCCAAATGTGTTTGCAACAATCATGGTCCTACCCGCTGCCCCAATGAATCTGAACAATGCTGATGCTGCTTGGTGGAGAAGTAAGAGCAGCATATACTGCTTGAATAGTCTGTATCATAGATTATCAGTCAATAATCATTTGAAGAAAAAAATGAGGTGAAGCATATTAATAATTTTGAGTTTTACCTCCCTACATTTGGATCAAATCCAATAACGTAGTACGTGAGAAATGTCCAAATGGCAACTTCAAGAAAAGTAATTGGGATTTTCAAGATCCACGAGGGAAGTCCATATGCCCATGCAGGAAAAAAGAGATAGTCCCTTTGTTTGTAGAAGACAGGAAGTTTGTAAATTGTCATGGCAAGCTCTGACATTCCATTGAACATAACCATAACGACACTGAAAAATAGAGCACCGGTATATATTCCTCCATCAGGGGCATCATTTTTGTGCATCTTAGTTCGGAAGAAGACAGTCATTGCAATCAATGACATTACAGTAATCTGAAAAGAGATGTAAAAGTCACTGTTAATAAAAGCATGCCACTTAAAACGTATGAACATACATGACTAGTATACAACTCCTAATACATGCCTGGAAGAGTTTGAAGAAATAGACAAATGAGTTTCTCTTCATCAGTAAGAGTTCTCGATCAGCGCAAGCCTTCAGGAGCTCTTTCTTTCCAAGACCGTACTTTTGGGTAGTTAAAGCAGCTGGATGGCCTTTGCTTTTGTCAAATGGGACTGAAAGCTCGTCCCCAACTTTTCGGCCTACATGGAATGATTGGTACGCCTCAGCAAATTCATTGACAGAGACGAACCTATAAGGCTCATCCTTAGCCCAGTATTGCTGCTGATCTTTCTTTGATGTCACCTGTCCATAGATTTATTTTTCATTAGCAATGAAAGGGGAAAATGACTACACATGTTTACAAGACTATTCAGTTCTATCGAATTCTTTTTTATCTTACTTCTTGCAGAAAATCAGCCACACCCTTTCTATCGGGGCATCTAAACCCCATGGATTCGAAAAAGTCGAGCACTTGTTCTCGAGGACCCTGATAAACAATCTGGCCATCTGACAAGAGAATGATGTCATCAAAAAGATCATATGTTTCAGGCGCCGGCTGCAGGAGGGAGATAAAAGCGGTTCCTTTCATAATGTGCACATATTGTCTAAGCATTTTCACAATTTGGAAAGTTGTGGAACTGTCCAATCCTGTGGATATTTCATCCATGAAAAGTGCCTTTGCTGGTCCAACAAGCATCTCCCCT